CCCTCACAAGCCCCTTAATGGGAAACCAGGGGTAAGAGTCAGGGATCAGAAGGGACCCTCAGACCAAGAGCCCAGCCAGCAATGTCCCCACTGCTGAGGAAGTGGGGATCAGCAAAGCAGGGAGCGGTGACGTGGGAAGTCAGCTTTGTCCAGAGGGCAGGTGTGGCGTGTGGATGAGGGGGTCTCTGGGAATTGAAATCAAAGGAATACTGCTTCCCACTGGGCCCGGAGGCCCTGCAGCGGCCGGTGTGGGTGTGGTGCGGCTGTGAGCGGGCAGGTGGGTGGCGGTGATGCGTGGGCCTGGGGGAGGGGTGGGGGCAGTGGGGCGGGTGGAGCTGCCAGCCCCAGAAGGAAACTGGTCCCCGGCGAGGGAGCAGGCGGCGAGGCGGCGCGGGCACTGCTCCTCCTCCGAGGACTCCTGCAAGATGCCCTCTTCTTCCTCCTCTAGTTTTTTGGGTCTGCGCCTTGGTTTCCTCCCTGGAGTTGTGGTTGTTTTCCAGGTCTTGGCAGCACCCTTGTTTTTGATCCCCTTCTGTCGGCCCCGTGGTCTAGGTGTTGGCGCCTGCTGGGCTCCTGCTGAGTCCCCGCCGTCGCCGGCCCGGGACTCACCGAGGCTGCCTGCGCCGCACGCCCCGCCCTCGCTCCTCAGCACCCTGCTTTTCCTGCTTGGAAGCCAGGGACTGGCTGGACTTCGAGCTCCACTCGCTCACCTTCCCTTGTCTGCAGAGCAGGTGGAGGAGCGACGGCCGGGATGCGCGAGCTCGGCCGCCGGCCTGCGGTGCGCGCCTCGGGCTGCCGGGAGCGACGGTGCTGGGCGCTGCGGGCCGGCCTGCCGCCGCCGGCGGTAGGAAATGCGGATGCCTTCCTGGAGCCGCGCCACGGCAGAAATAGCGCGGAGTCGGAGTCCCAATTAGAGCTAAAATGTATTTTCTAAATATAAAGAGAAAACGTAACAGGAAAGTAATTTCTCAAAAAATAATGTCCTGGAATATACAAATGCTTGAATTCAGCTACACTGGATACTGTGATTTCTCTGGTGGTTGCTCCAAGCCTTATTTAGATTTCTGCCTGTTGTTATTTTTCCCTATCAATGCTTAAAGCTTCTGTATGTTTATGTCTTTCTTCCTCATGAATAAGAAGAAAGTTTCCTCTGCTCTCTCGTCCTGGCATATTCCTGTTGTTTGCAGCTTTAAGTCTGAAATGGCGTAGGTATTTTTAGCAGAGGAGGGAGGCTAATCATTTGCTATTTTTTTAAACTTCCCTAATGTTTTTTCATTTATTTAAAAATTATTTTTAAAGAGTGCAATTTAGTGCGTTTTAGTAGATTCACAAGGTTGTGCAACTATTGCCACTGTCTATTCCAAAATCACCCTCCCAAAAAACCCAATATCCATTTGTAATCGTTCCTCACCTTCTCCCTCAGCCCCTGCCAACGCTAATCTACTTCCTGTCTCTCTGGATTTTCCTTTTCGGAACATTTCATGTTAAAGGAATCATTTAATATGTGGCCTTTTAGACGAGCTTCTTTCATTAAGCAGAATGTTTTCAAGGTTTACCTATGTTATATATATCACATATTACTGTTTTATTTGTTTTTTACTTCCTCGTGTCTTATTGCTTCTTTCTGGATTAATTTTCCTTCTTAAAGTGTATGCTTTAAGAAATCTTGCAAAGAGGCATAAATCTGTGGTATAAAATTTCCATAGACCCAGTATGTTTCATAATATCTTCATTTTGTCCTCATATTTATAATAAGGCTGGATAGAAATGTTTAGGGTCAAATTTCCTTATCTCCAAAAATTTAAAGATAGCTCTTTACTGTTACCTAGAATCCTGGTAGCAGTCTGCTTCCCATTCCTTTCAGGGCACCTGCTAGTTCTCCCTGTAAGCTTTCAGATTGTTCCCTTTAGCTTTGATGCTCTTACATTTCACTAGGATGCATCTAATTGTATTTTTCCCCACCCTTTTTAGAATGTTTAGCACTGGTTGAGACCTTTCAATCTAAACATTATATCTTTAATTCTCAGAAATTATTTCTTCAAATATTTTTTTCTCCGTGTTTATTTCTCTCCTTTAGAGATCCCTGTTATGCAGATAGTGACATGTTTACTTTTGTTTTCTCTACCTCTTAACAATTCTCTGATTCTTTCCTTTCTTGATGCTTTCCTTGAGAGTCCTTTGACTTGATCTTCCAGCTCATTAAATCTTTCTTTTCAGCTGTATCCATTCTGAAACTTAATTTACCCATTGAATCCTTTACCTGGAAAATTATATTTTTCTGTGTGCAATGTTTTTAATAGCTTCATCTTCATGGTCACTTGCTCCTCTTGCAGATGTCCAATATCCTTCTTTAAGTTGGGAATTATTCATTATGCTGATTTTAAATTCTTGTTCTGTCTTTCCAATTACTTTTGCTTCCTCCAGGGAACAGGTCTCATTTTTCTCTATGAGTTTGTCTTCTGTTAGGGCTCTCAACTGCATTGACTACCAGTGTTTCCCTTGGAGGAGTGAGAAGACCTTGCTTGTGTTTTCCAGGCTAGTTTAGGTTTGGACGATGGGGCTTCTCCTCAGGGTGAACAGACCCTTGTATTGCACACTTGCTCAACCACTCCCTGTTTCCCTGCTTTAGCATTATCTGTCCCTCAGGGAATCTCCCAGTACTTCTGATCCCAGGAAAGGTGGTCATGGCTGGGTGACAGGGAGAACTTGGTCTCCTGCCAGTCAACCAGCCTGTTCCTCTGTGTTGCCCATTCTGGTGGGCACTGACATTGCCCTCAGGTTACCTGTCCAGTTCCACCTTCCGTAGGTGTGGGGTTAATATTGCTGCATGAAATGATCGTTGCAGGCAGATGCAAGGAGGGGAAGGGAAACAAGAGGAAGGAAGAAATCCAGTGGCTCTGGCCCTCTTTGACTCCAGACCACACTCCTGTGTTAGTTGTTGAGTTCTGCTTTATGGCCCTCCCACCTCAGCCTTTCTGTGGTGTCTCCATTCAGGATTAGATGCAGGGGAGAGAGTCAGCAGCCCATGCTACTTTGCCGTTTTTTCAGTCTTAACATATTATCACTTGTCTTTCCAAGTATGAAAAAAACATTCATTTGACTTCAAACCAAGGCTACTCCAACAATTGATTGGTAGGGCATTCAGAGTAAAATGTGCAAGCCATTGGATTTTAAGTGTACTTGAATAACTTTTATATACGAAAAGAGATCAGTTCAAAACTCAATGGTCTGATTAATATTTCATCTCAGTAGAAGCCCAGATACTGAAACCAACCAGTAACTCTACTCTCAGACAGAAAGGATTCAGTTGGCTGGTGTTTGGGTCTCAATTTTTAAACATAGGAAATGAGAAGATGCTTGTAAGGACATCTGCCTGGGCCATTTCCAGCCCTGGTTTCAAAGGCAATCCATTAATTCTATCATTGGAGAGGGTGGTTTTGGTGGGGGGCTATCCTTTGGAATCATTTCTTAATTCAAAAAACGTTTATTGATCACCTATACTATGCCAGATTCTATGCTAAGATCTTCATAAGACATTCTTTTATGTGAGTGATAACCAGAGTTTTAAAGTATAAACTGATCATATATCTCATGACATTGAGCATAGAGCCTGAAGAAAGAGTCCTACTGTCTTCTTGCTCTATTAAAATTCTGGCCTTTATTGAAGTTTGGGCTATGTTATCTATGAAGCTTTGTTCAATAACACTTTGATGGTTTAAGAAATACTGTATCAGCGGATGGCTATTTCTTTAGACGATCCTTTTAGACTCTGGTATAGAAGAGTTGGCATCCTGGCCTGCACACATGGAGCTGAGAGCAGAGCATCAGCAGAGGGGCTCCTGGACAAATTGCTGCAGCCCAGTAAATTATCAGGAAAGCTAGTTAAAATGCAGATTCTAGAATCTTTCCAGGAGATACTGAACTAGTGTCTCTAGGGTTGGTGGCCCTGACATCTGAAAAATTCAGGGCTTTGGCTATGTGTGGGTCTATCCTGTGATTCTAGGGCAAACCAGATCAGAGCTGCCCATGTGGGAAGAAGGAAAGGATGGCTCCAAGCAACAGGCAACACTGGAGGGGCCCAGGAGCCATAAAAGGGAATTAAAATGTATTCAGAAGATAGCGGGGTTAGGTCCTGAGAAATAAGATTATGTATCAAGATAAATGCATGAGATGATGGAACTGTCACTAGGATGGGTTATGAAAAGGGAGCTGAGAGATAGGTGTGGGATGAGTGAAGCAAATTAAGATCGAGAATACTGGAACACAGTAGAACTTAACTTTTAATGAGAACCCTGTGTCTGTTGTCATGGATGAAGATCCCTTCAAGATTCCACTGGTGGATAAAAAGATTATTTTGCGAAGTCTTAAGGGGAAGGTGGCATACTCATTTCTCTATTCATTTATTGCTTTAGTCATTTGATCTGTGGCTAGATGTGGTGTATTCACTACTCAGCAAATATTGAGGGTATATATCAAGCACTGTGTGAATGATAAGACTGGAAAGGTAGGCAGAGACCAAACCATCCAGGGTCAGGTGAACTTTTGCCTTTATCCTAAAAGCACATGGAAGTCACTGAATGATCTAAGAAGAGATGTAACACCATCAGATGTCTTGTTGACAGGCCACTCTGCTGCAGTGTGGAGGAGAGATTGGAAGGGGACAGGCATGGCTGCAGGCAGGCCAGATGGGAGACTGTCAGTTTCCAGAGGAGAGACAATGGTGCAGAAATAACAGGAAATGGAAAGATGTCGGAGATAGTTAGGAGGTAAAATTGCATTGGTAGGACATAATGCTAGATTGAATATGGGGAGATTTTTAGGGTGGATTTCTGGCTTGATCAACTAGATGCTTGATGGTGCTATTATTCACTGAGAAGAGGGAACGATGGGAGAAGTTAGGCTGTGAAAGATGATGCTTACAGTCAAGCCACGTCCTCTGACTACTTCTGCTCCCCTGTTGCCCCGATGGACAACTTGGGTTCCCACCTGATGCCTCTCATTGACCACTTTGGTCACCGACTCATTGCTCAGGGCTCTGCTCTGGAGGAAAAGGTTTGCTAAACTAGTTGATGACCAGTATGGGAAGGTCATTAGGTAAAATAATTGAGAGGGGCCGTGAAACCACTGAGCCCCACCCCAGTGATGATGGGAAGAGAAGAACCTGAATGGTTTAGTTTTGGAAATTCTTTGATAGGGTTACCAAGCCACTAGCACCCACCTCTCTGGCTTTGTAAGTAAGTCCCTCCCCGCACATCTACCAGAGTTGGCTAACAAGCACTGCCTCTTTGGAGTGTTCTTTGCTTTTGTCTTTTCTGACTCGTCTTGAGCTTATGAACAGGAAAATGTTGAAAAGGCAGGCAGAAGACATTATTCAGCCAGACAATGGTATTTATTGAGCCCAATGTGTACAAAACACTCTATTCGTTTTTTGAAGATGTAAAAAAGATATGGCTTCAAAGAAAAGAAAAAGTAGAAGCAAAACACTTAGGTAGTCCATGAATTATACAATCAAGTCTTAAAAAAATAAAGGAGACTCCTGGGCATATATCCAGAGAAAAATATAATTTGAAAAGACATGTGCACCACAACGTTCACAGCAGCACTATTTACAATAGCCAAGACATGGAAGCAACCCAAATGTCCATTGACAGATGAACAAATAAAGAAGATGTGGTACGTGTGCATATATACACATAAATACATACACATACACACATGCGCATGCACACACGCAATAGAATACTACTCAACCATAAAAAAGAATAAAATAATGCCATTTGCAGCAAGATGGATGGACCTGAAAATCATCATTCTAAGTGAAGTAAGCCAGAAAGAGAAAGAAAAATACCGTATGATACTGCTTATATGTGGAATCTAAAAAAAAAAAAGACACATATTTACAAAATAGAAAGAGACAAACATAGAGAATA